TGTTGAGATAGTCGTGAAAGACTGAAAGGGCGTTTTGGCCATGGGATCATATGACAAATGTGTCGTCCATGTAGCGGAACCAGACTTTGGGTTTGAGTTGGGCGGATTCAATGGCTGTGTCTTCAAAAGCTTCCATGAAAATATTGGCCACGACTGGTGAGAGAGGGGTTCCACGAGATCGCCAAGAAGTGGAGGTTGTCCGTCCCTGAAAAGCAATTTACGGATTAATGTTGAGGATTCGGCTGTATATTCTTTCAGAACACGGGCGAGATATTGGGCTGTATTGTAAGTGGGAGACTCTAAAATACTGATGATGGGTCTGAGAGGGTAATTGTTTTTGTGAATTTCGGGCACACCGTGTATACGTGGTGGTTTGCAGTTTCGGGGTATTAGACGTTTGAGTACATCGGTTGGAAAGTCACCCGATCTTAAAAGAGTTGTGATCTCACGTTCAATGCGGGAAGTTGGGTCGCGAAGAAGAATAGTATAGGAACCGTCTTGTAACAAGGAGCGTATTTTGTCCACCTATTGTGTTTTGTCCAGAATAAATGTGGCATTGCCTTTGTCAGCGGGCAGGATGACTTGGTTGGTATTAGTTTGAAGAGAAGTGAGAGCGGTCCTTTCTTCGTTGGACAGATTGGGTTTTGGGGGGCGTGCTAAATGCAGGATTTTGGCTGTCTCGAAGTGAATAGAGCCTGCATTTTCTCTTGGCAGATTTCTGATGGAGGTTTCGACAGCACTAATAATAACTTCCTCAGTTGGAATTTTCTTAGGAGCGGTGGGCCCTTTTACAAAAGTGTACGCCTGCACGCCATTGATAACGATGGTCATGGACCACGTGAGGGTTGTGTGTTGCTCAAATTTGATCGTTCTGTAAAACAAATGTTCCTCACCCTAGATTATCTCAAGCGTTCCTTCGTAAAACTCCATAGGTGAGAAGTAATCCTCAGGTTTCCATTTATTGTCATGATGCTTTTTGAAACTCTTCTATCCCATCTCTTTAAGATCCCTAGAAAACGTCGTGCCCACCTGATTTTATTTAATTTTTATCACATTTGAAAATAAATGTAACTTTGTTTTGTGAAATATTATTTTTATTTTTGTTGTTGTTAACACAAGAAACAAATAAAACAGTAATACAAAAGTTTCTGAACCCCAAAACACATTCGTAGTAGAGAAAAATATTTTAAAATCTTGATGAGTCAATGTTCTACATTTCTCTCAAAAATGTCTTGTAACGAACATGCTTCCAGGCGGCAAGAATTCCATCTTTGCTTAACGAATGTAAAATCAATCAACTTCCAATCTTTAGTGATTCGAAAAAAAAGTGTGAAATTTACCCAAATTACCTACTAATTAAATTAATCGTTGAAGAATAAGCTGGTCCTAGCTTTTTCATCTAATCGCAGTAGAACATAGCATAACCTAATAAAATATTTTGTGCAGTTTGTGCATTTATTTCGTTTAAATTGACCTACAATAATCGCCATATTAGATAAAATAATTCAATTTGAGTCGTTCAGTGATTACTGAGTGAGGCAGCGCGAGTTCATTCCAAGCTTGACGGACTCCCAGGACATGTCACAAAGCTGCCGATGGGGTTTTGAGGAAGACCAGCTGCTCGAAGTCTTCATCTCTATGACGAATGAATGGATCAATTTGTGCATTTATTCCGTTTAATTTGCCCTACAATACTCATTACACTGGATAAAATAATTCAGTTTGAGTTGTTCGTTGATTTCTGAAAACAATTTCTAATTTCACTTTGACATTTGGATTTTGCATGGTTAATCCAAAGACGCGATCGCCGAACATCGACAGTGCGACGGAACATTTCGCGACAAATCGGATCGGGCGCGAATTTCAAAATACGATTTTTAAAACTTTTTTACAGTGAATGAGCGCGATGCAACGATTTGAAAAAAATACTGGCCAATCGCCCTCTTCGACCTCCACAAAGGCAGAACTCAATAATAGCTTTAAGGTGATCTGGGGAGATATTTTAAAATAAAAACCAATTTGCCATGTTAATTCCCTATGTCCAGACTTGGAAGCCGCACCCTGTATATGTATCCGAAACGAACTACAATTAAAATTCATTAAAATTACTAACTTACATATTCAAATACAAATTTTAATTCAAGCAGAACGTGGTGGAATTTTGAGTCTATTTTTGTAGAAAATCCAGCTAATAAGTCTTCATGTTTAATGTGAATCTTGTCAACACATAGATGTTAATATGATGTAGGTATATTGACTCAGATTAATTTTACTTTAAGGGACAAATTTCAACCACTGTTGAAAGGAGCAAGTGTGTAGCATCAGTTTTATTATTACAAATAATATTTTTATAAAATTTGAATTGTATTATCTATAACTAAATTATTATTGGGTATTTGGTGCACAAGAGCATCTTCTATCGCTCTACCGTCTCTAGTTTGTTTACCTCTTAGTGTTCGAGTAGTAGAAATCTTTAACAAAAACAACTTTATAGGGAATTATTATATTTATGCAAGGATGCTTAGATTAAATTAAAAAGTAAGTAATAAATTTACGAGAAGAAGAATTTATAAGCAATTTTAAGTATTATTCGCAGGAAAATTGTTTACGAAGTTCACCTGAAAGGTAATTTATGGATTATTTCGTTATAAATGCAGAGTTCAAGGAAGATTCACGTTGCTGCTATTCGTATTTGGATTTAGTATTTGTTAGGTATTACTTAGAAGAATCTGGTTATTTAGAGAGTAATAATTCGTCATTTACAAGAACAAATTATGCCGTTACTTATAAGATCATGCTATGATGTAGGTACCTGCTGATAGTCCATTAAATTTGATTACTAAACTCAGATGTGGTGTTAAAGATACTAAAAAACCATAGAGAATTCATAATAATAAATGGAATGAGACGAATCTTAAACTGTATTTTTCACAAATGAAGCGAAAGAAGTAACACAAAAATTTGATCAGTGGAAGTCTGTTTTAAACTTAAAGTTTGAATATGACAGTAATAAACCAGATATACTTATTTCATTTTCTAGTATGTAGTTCATTTAAACATAACCATAATTCTCGTCGTAAAAAACGAACAAATGGCAACAACTTTCATAGAAAAATTAATATTTTGGTACATGCATTCTCCAAATAATGATAAATGCCAAATAATTCATTTTGATAAATTAGAAAGTTTGTAATTATTTTGGGTCTGATGAGTGATGAAGCTCCTTACGGTCAAACTAATTTTCATGATACTGGATACATGCACTGGGATATTACTATTGATAATCTGTTAATAATCTCAAATCACGATTTATATCTATATATTTCACAAAAATGGGTTTATAATAAACATAAATGATCAGCGATAAAGGGATTCAAAATCATTACCTAAATATTTACCGCGTATAACACGAATTTTTAAGATCTATTAAAGACATTCTAGGGAAGTTGTAATTATGGATGAATATAAATATTCTTTCATCTAATTTCACACTTTTCAAATAAAACAGTCTGGAGGCACTCATAAATTACTAGAAATAAAAAACATCAAACAATTTTTAATTCACACACAGGATATTATATACTTATTTTGTAATAAATTATTATCATTACAATTATTATGTTGGTTTGGGTAAATGCAGTATGAAAGCAAACCAACACGGAAATTTTAACCAATTATTTTTACTGGTATTCCACCTGACGTATCTGGGCCCTTTAAATATGTATAGAAATGTACTGTACTTTTTTTAAAAGATGAATAAGAAAATAATGCCCGAACAAAGTCTGGCTTTGCCAACCGAGAGCCAGGGGCGAAGTTCGAACATGGGCAAAAACGATTTGTTACGAGTGTGATGAGTGATGACTGATGAATTTTAAATCAGATCATAAAGACTGGTAAGCTTGATTGTAGTACCTTCAACATTCACTATACAAATCTAAATGAACTGGTATAATTGTAAACTTTATTAAGCTGCTTCATATATGTATTTTTGAAACGGATTTAAACAAAAAATTAATGGATTTATAAAAAAGAAGCTAAAATCGTATTTGTTTGAAACATATTTTGCAATATAAAATATCAATATGTAATCGTTCAATTCAATTGTTACACTTTGATAGGATTAAACAATTATTACTAATATTTAAATAATACCCCTATTATTGTCTTCCCAGTTTAAAGTGGGTTTTGTGATAGGTCCATTGTGTCGAAGTTGATGGTGGAGACGATGGAGTAAATCCCTAGCCATAAATAAGAAAGTGGTGCGTTTCTTGCAGGGCCGTATTTGTTATTCAACTCATATTGTCCGTCGTGGGATAATAATGAGGTGATAATGTTTATTAACTTGTCATAAAAACCACTTTAAACTGGGAGTACAATACTTCTGATGATAATGAAACAGAAATTATTTTTAAGTATCCAATAGGAAACCTCTTACCCTGAATTTCAGTCTTAAAGATAAAATTTTACATTATAGATAAATACGTATAAAAATGTTGAAATTAACTTTGTATAGTTCTACAACATGTATGTTATTTAATTAATTCATTTCCTCAATAATGGAAAAATTCCGTTATAGATAGAAAGATTAAAATGAAGTTTTATGCAACACTTTATGGGGTCGTAATAGCAAAATATATTCCTTATGCATGTAAGGATATATGTTTTTTCGCGGGTATCGTAAATCAATAAGCTCACATTGAAAGTCCTTCAAGCGTGCTCGAAATACCCATAAAGCTACTTAATGTAAACAAAGTGCACACAACTCGACCAACAACCGCATTTGCATAACCCATTCGGAAGACATGATATGACAAACAGTTTCTCATGTATTCGTACAGTATGCATGTATTTTCTAACCAAACATGATAAATATTTGAAGCCTTAAACCATTCCACGTTGCCACACGTAATTGTTACGGAAATTTCAGCAGCTGCTTCCTGAAAATATTTACGTACACTGGCATTGTAACGCCGCTACATGTGGTGAACTTTTATTTTCAGGGGCTTTTCCGTAGTGGCGCCCGAACTAGCCGTACCTGGAAAAACGACAGCTGTTCTGGTAACACTACACGGTCCAACGAGTCTACGACCTCTCAACGTTACCCTACGGCTCCTTCCAGATGCTCAAAAGGGGACAAACCAACAACTCGTTGAAACCACTCAGGAAATAAGAGGTGAGTACTCGATATTAAATTTTGTTTCTCCGGATTTAATATCGCCAAGAATTTCGTTTTCGCTTACGAGGCTCTATAGAGAAAATCAACAGAGGGCACACTTGAAACTTCAAAGTCCAAAATAAGTAGGGAAAGCCGGAGCAAAATGATGCAGTCGGGTGAATAAAATAATTAATGAATTAATTAAAAAGTTGTTTCACATTCCTTTGTACTAATAAATTAAAGGAATGATACAGATTTATGTTGATATGAATAACGTGAATACAACAATCCAATCGTATAATTCCAGTAAAGATAAAGTAACAGGAGAATTACGTCTTTCTACGGAATAATTTTCATGCTTTGATGGCATTTCGATATTTTATTCCGTTCCGATATATTTATTAATTACTAAGATTATCATCAAACAAATAATTATTTACTACTTTAAATTTATATCTAAATGCATTAATAATAAGAAAGTTCAGGAATGTTCAAAAGTCTATAACAACAACGGAAAATTCACGAATAAAGATGATCATTAAAGAAACATAATGGAAGATTTATGTGAAAGTTGCTGAAACGTTAATAATTTCATCATAAACATGAGAGTGTATAGACACTTTGTGTCGACTTCCCCTACACAGATTCGAATTACTGACACGAAAATACAATTTGATTAGCGCAGCTCGTATGGACCCAAGTTAAAGTTCAAGATGCGCTTCCAATAACAATTCTTTAGTTTAAATCGCTCTATTCCTTATCCGTGTTTTTCTCCGGTTCCGGTGTAAAATTTATTTTCCACCGGAAGTTTTCCTCAATACCGGATGGAGTTTCAAACAAAAATCAACACAGGCTTCATTGGCTTCAAAACGCACCTGTGTAATTTCATTTCCAACTTTCCTTTATTGCTGTCATGGTGAAATTGACGTAAACAAATTCGGTTAAATCTGTCTACGGTTGTGATTGATGATGCCAATAAAAAACAAACAAGAACGATCGGTTCTAATATTTTTTTTTAATTTTCGATCAAAACAAAACCTGCTATTTTCACCAAAATAGCCACTCAAAATGAATAACAAAGTTTTAAATAATTATTTACTTCAATTGGCGTAGCGATGGAAACTGGGACGGTTTTATGACAAACGTTGCCATTTTTTATATTCACATTACTAGCAACAAACAACTATTTCAGATTAATTAGCTATTAATTAGTATATACAGGGTGTTATTGAAAGGTACGTACAACAAAATGGACAGTTCTTCGCGAAGTCTAAGAAGTCGGAAAAACTTATTTTGTGTTATCAAAATTATAAGGGGAAAATTAACCCTTATCCAACCTTTTTAGACGCTACTGAAGGATAAATAGATAAAATTAATTTATTTTAGTAAATCCTAGCAACTGTAACAATAAAGTTTTTGTCAAGACTAAATGTTGCTATAGAAACGAAAGGTGATCTTTATATCAGAGGCGTACAACGAATTTGGACATAAATTTTAATAATTTTTATCTCTAAAAGGAGAACATTTTTACCTGAACTTTTTTTTATTTTTAGCACCCATACTTCGAGATCAATTGCCGATTTTATTTTGTACGTACCTTTCAATAACAGGCTGTATTAAAAGGACTTTTGTTTTGTAAATTTGCATGTTCTAACAATGTTTTAATATTATTGAAGTTAAACATTATTAGCAACAAAAATTGAAAACAACATTTTCCTTGTTAACGTTGCGGATTAGAACCTCCCTCCAAATGAATAATCAAAAATACTAACTAAGTTGCATTAGTAATCAATACACGCGATGGATTTGATATTCTTATTTTAGTGTAATACAAAGAGTTCTCAAATCACCATATTTTTTTCGTTTTTTTTTTTAAATATAAACGAAACCTGACAGAATTAAATTTCCACACAACCTGCTTCACATGATGACACCTTAATAAAAAATTTTACAGTTTGATTAAATGTGCACTCTCAAATGATTATTATTGTATGCAGTGACAAGGTTTGACCGCCAGCCATGCGAATTTGGAACAGATTATGTAAATTTAAGCTTACTGTACCAAATTTCATAATTAATATTATTACTTTGACTTATTAGGCTTATATTAACAAACAGTGCAAATATACCTTTAATAAAGTACATATGTAATTTGTAAAGTGCTTTTGCTTAATAAGTCCCAATACATAATCACCGTTTAAGTACTGGGAGTTTTAATTAATGATTTACATGTAGAGTGCTGTGAACACGACTTGACAAAAAAATGTCCCCGTCGAAAAATACAGTTTTTGGCGGCAAAAGATGAATATTGCCATTCGCTATCAATCTCTTGGCCAGACCGAAAATAGGCTTCGATAATAAATTTACATTCTTCTAGAGTCCACAGAAATACACGTTTAACAACTTATTGACAGATTAATTAATTTAGCAACAAGTCAAATGAAGCGGCACATTAATAAATAAAACTTAAAGCCTACTAGATGTAAATCATTTATTAACACCCTATAAATTTTTCATTTATGTGAACCACTTTTAGGCAGTCACGACTCTTTTAGATCTCATTTCTTACAAAATTTTCAATAACAATTGCAAATGCACTGTAAAAAATGATCTACGGTTATTTAGATACGACTTTCCTCGCCGCTGAAGCATACTTCAACAAATCCAAGTCCTTGATAATTTATATAAAAAGAGATAGTGGGAAATCAGACTTTAATAATAAAATTTTACAATTTTACCGACCTTTCGGACATCCAATTTTATCCTTGATCCATTTAATATAATATAAATAGAATTTATTAATTTATTTTATAATAACCAGTATAAGTTAAAAAAATATAGTTAGTCAAAAATATTGCCCCATGAGGATACCAAAATGGCTACCTCCGCATTATTTGTGCGATGCAATTTCCACTATGCTGTTTCACCGCTGTGCCGAATTGCTCTTATACAGATATAAAATGAAAATGTTATTATAATTTAATTTTTTTGTAGGAAAATTTTGATGCTCGTGATAAAAACTCTAAACGGATTCATAAACCACAAGTCCAGGAGTTTATTACGTTATTTTATAAAATTTAAATGATGTTTACTAAGCTAAATTTCGAACTACTGTATCAAGTTGTTACTGGGCCTGATGCGGAAATTTTTGGTTGACGTTTAACCATTTGCACGATTTTTGTAACATACATACAAATAAAACGGAAACAGGAGACCTACTTTTTCGTCTTCTAGGGTTAGAGGTCATAAAACGTCGAGAAAAATTTAAAGTAGCCATTCATCGGACAGAGCTTACTACAGGGTTTCTATAATGACTGAAGGTGTTTTCTCTCAGTTGTGCAGGTTTTACAAACTCCTTCAAATACTAAATCTTTGAGTGGGTCCATTTTGCAACTGTCCTCTTTAAAGTTTTTTTTTTTGAGGAAGTTTAGCACTTACGTTCCATATAGTTTTCACAACACCTTCTTTGTAATCAGACCCATCATTTCGTTTCATATTAACTGCCCGATCTTTCAAAATATTCGCCATTTCTTCATCGGTTGTCTCAGCTCGCAGCTTGTAATTTCGCTGTTTGCAAAAGTCTTCAAATTGTTTCCAAATATATGTCTCAATTTTTACGGTATTCACGGTTTTTAAATTTTCTATCAATTTCTTCGGTCGAATTTGTACCAAAACAATTCATTTTGCAAAAATTTCTGATTATTTACTTCTCGCGTCCCACGTAACTACAGAAACTATCACGCTGATTACTTGATTTTTGCACAAAGTAGACCTAACGAAACACAAAATCGATTATATCACGTCTTTAATTGCACGTATCGATTATTATTATTAATGAATCGGTTTCTAAGAAAATAGAATAGCATGTTTGCGCAGAACATTTTCTTATAAATTTTTTCTTATGCTTACACTTATAATTATAACAACCATAATCGTTGCATCTTATACTGACAGTAATAGAATTTTTCTACAATGTCAATCAGTGTCATTTAGAACTCTAATTATGTCGCAACTGAAAAAGATACTCTTTTAGTATTAACTGATGCACTAAGTAGTTCTGAACATCTTCTGCATTGCCACAAGTCGCCAAAATTTCTAAATTATTCATGATGTAAAATTAATCAATTTACGTGACAGAAAGTCAGTTCTGCTTGCTAATGTAAGATCCTAAGCCGTCAGCATAACTGTTAGAATTATACTTATAACTATAATTATTAATCATAAGTGTAAGTATAAGGAAAACTTTATAAGAAACTGTTTTGCGCAAACACGCTAATATCTTTATTGGCTTAAAAACTTATGAATTATCTATTCGCTATAAGTTGTGTATTGCATTACCTACCAAGAAATAAATCGTTAAGTTTTCACCCACACCGATTTAATTTCCGTAAATCGTAACATACGTTCCTATATTGATTAATCGCAGTTATTAAATATGTAAAAGTTTCAAAAAGTAGCACGTTTTTGGAGTACTAGTCTATTTGAGGTTGTAGGACCAAGAACTAATATCATGAGTCTCCCCTGTTTATGTTAGGAACTATTCCCTTATTAGCTACAAAATCGGCATTTTTTCTACTAGCATAATATGTCAGTTTAAACTGGTTGATGGATATTTATTTGAGTATTTATTACTATTTTTATGCATTCGTTATGTTTCAATTGTTAAATTTTTATGTAACTGACCAATAATTAATTGCTTGCAGGGTTACTTTTGTATTATTATTATTGGTAGCCACATTAACTAAACCCTCGATTTACCTAATCGTTTTATGACAAGACTGTTAAACTCTTAAAATAAAATAAGATGACTTACGCTTCCGAGGTTTATAATGCGCTTTTTTTTTAAATTGTAATAACATAGTATGTATTATTATTGTTATTAGTGTTATATTGTATCTATAATGAGAGTCAATAGAGTAAATATGGGAGTCATTTAAAAAATAACGTGATGGATTTAAAAAAACAATTGATGAAATATTAATATTGATTTAGTGCTGTGCACAAAATGTTGTAACATT